ACTGAGATTAGCATCTTTCTGAGGAACTCAGAGGATAACAGCAGAGTAAGGAATCCCAGATTAGCAAATAGAGGATGGGTGAAACAAAGCCAGAAGCTTCTCAGGTGGGACGGAATCAGTGTCAGACGCCACTTGTCCTGGGTTAACCTGGCTCTGAGGTCCTGGAGACAAAATCTGGAATGCCAGAGATTCCCTCTGTGGGCTCTGAGTCCCATGAAATTAAAGCCAGTCGCCTGAAGAAGGAAAATCTGGGCACTAGATGGTGGCCACAGGGAAGGCTATAAATAGATCTTGTTCAGAGGTCAGAAACAGTTCCACTGGGGAGAGGTTGCGAACAAAAGCAGGGAAGGACTTCAGAGCACTGTTTCCCAGTGATGTTCCAATGGGGCATGAAGAGGTGATTCGAGCAAAGAGGGCTTGTGGTCATAAAAGTTTGGAAATTGCTGAGTTGAGAAGGTCTTGTTTCTACAGAACTTACCAGCATCTTTATTTCAGCAGCGTGCACTGTGAGACTCCAATGGGAGGGTACAATAAATTTTTCATTCAACAAACACATACAGAATGGCTACTTAGTGCCAGGCACTGGGGACAAAGAAATGAACAAAAGAGACAAAATCCCTTCTCTCCAGGACAAGGGTGAGGAGACAGGGCAGTAAACACACAATGAATCCACATTTCCCAAACTGATTGGTCCGCAGGACAATGTTGTAAAGAAACACCCCTTCATTCTTGTGCTCCTTGGAACATAGTTTGGGGGAGGAGCTCATTAGGAGAGCTTGCTGATGAAACAGAGTGGTAACGTCCGCAGACCCCAGCCCTGAAACTGTGTGAGCTGATTCCAATGTCTATGGTAATGCTTTCGGGGGTATTTTGAGACTGAAATGTGTCATTCAGAATTGCTAAAGGATTGTTGACCCAACAAAACTACATGTTTCTAGAGAGTGCACCTTCAGCCTGAAATCTTCCTGGGAAGAATTTATTTGCTGACACAAAGCGGCTCAGGGATACCAAAGGTTATGGCTATCCATGAAACGACAGGACCTGTAGGGAAAGTAAGTTCTGGTGTGTACATAGATAGAAGACAATTCCCAAAGCAAAGTCTTCTTCTCATAAAACAAATGATGAGCAGAAGAGGGTTCATGACTCCCCCTACCCCGTTCCAGTGCAGTTTACAAAAGGACGCCCTACCCAGAACCTCTGATGACAATTTTCAGGAGAAACCCCAAACTCTCAGGCAAGACCCTATGTTCAGAAACTTGGGTTCAGAAGGCACGCTGGTCCTTGTTTGGGCTTTGACCTGCCTTGAGCACCTGTGAGTGAAGAAATCATTTCTGAAATGCCTAAGGAGGGCGTGCATCTCACTTAGGATCAGTCTTGGGGCTGCAGTGTCTTTCTGTGAAGAGCCTCATATGAGAGGCTCGCTCAGCCGCAGACTTTGGCGTTTCCCAACGTTGATCAATCTGACTTCCCAGATATCTGAAAACACCAGCTAGAGTAAAGAAATAAATGTATGCACTTATTCTTGTATGTAAATGTAATATGTATTTCAATTATACATTGAAACCTATTCAAGTATATGCATTCAATTATATATATAATTATATATATAATTCCATTATTCTCATGGCATTTCTCATTTCCTTCGACTTCATTCATTTGTTTTTCCTGCTCTAACCAATTGATTAAGTTGTTTATGTGAAAGAACAGTCTCAACATTTTGGAGGTCATTTGACGATTGGAATCATAACTGAAAGCTTACACTGTTTTTAACATGAGCCCAACCTTGCTCACACCGGTGTTGTAAATCTTGAGAAAGCCATATTCTGTCAAAAGCAGCTCATTCCAGGATGACTCTAAATAGACAAATAAGATATGTTCCCCCAATACTGCTTACAAATGAGTCACTGTGAAAATATCAGTGTATGCATTTTTGGTGTTGGTGGCGTTATCTCACTGAAGGTGATCACGTGGTCCAACCTTAATGGCCCTTACTGATGGGGAGGAGGGAGATCACAGGTAATCTCAAACCAATGTCACCTCCAAAGCCGTTCATGCTTTGCAGGGGTGCATTAGGGGATAAGTGAGAGCAGATGGTTATCTTTCCTGATTCTGCCTTGCTTGACTTCTTGAGTTGATGTTAGTCTTCCCTTGAGCATATTATGTCCCGAAGGCATGAGGTACCAGAGAGATTGCTGGTCAAACTGCAGGTATAATTGTCATATGTAATTGACAAAGCAAATGATCAGAAAATGGATCACTGAGCATTCATGACCTGCATAAAATGCTAGGGATATAATTGCAAGGAGTACAAGTAATTGCTTGGACAAGAAAAGGATTCTCTCCCTTAGCATCACTGACCTGTCGATGCAAGGGCCCCTTCCCAGATCTTAAGGCTCGCCTGTCGGCAATGATGAAAGGTAGAGAGGTGCTTCCAAATTTTCCTCTCATTTTAAGCAGCCACATAGACAGCCAGGGGAATTTTGTGAGGGCTGGGGGACTCTGAAAAGGAGAACACTTTCTTGGTGTCTGCCTTACACAAGTGGTCAGTGGCATAGGCACCCAGGAAGCAACATTTAGTCCTAGTTTCCCTGCGGGTCAGCGTCAGTCCCTGATGACACTTCACCAGGGCCTATCAATCTGCGAAAAATGAGGCCAAAGCTCATGAAGTGAGTTATTCATTCAATCAAATGCATTCAGTGGAGGATTCATCTTTTGTTCTGAGATTGGATCATTGTTGTTGAAAAAACACCCTTTCTTTTATGAAACGGCAGTCACATTGGAGAGCTGTAGTTGTGATCAGTGCTGCTGCTACTGTAATTTCTGTAAATCAGTCCCCAAAATGTTTTTGGATGCTCCTCTCCTCTGTGATACCCAAAGGTCCAGGACCCACTGAAGGCATGAGGGCTGGTGGAGTAGATGGGCTCAATGTACTTCAAAGAGGAAAACTGTGAGAAAATAAAACTTACAGAGAGAGATAGAAGCACCGCGCTATGAGTGTACACAGGTATTGAACGATTCATCTCCTGCTAGTAGACCCTGGCTCCAGGCACTTGCCAGGGGGGCATCTTGGCATCTCTAAGCCAGAATGTTATGTCCAGACAAAGGCAACTTGGGTGTCTTTTCCACTTCTGCTCCAAGATTAAAAAACAAAACCAAACCCTACATGTTGTCCTTTTCAAAACTGTGTGGAAAGAACTTTCACCCAAGAAGGAATGGGAGCTGCACAGAGTGGTGGACAGTCTGCCTTGCCTTCTGCCGTGGTGTTCGAATGCATTTAATCCCAGGGGCTCGAGCCCTCTGGCCCTGCATGGGTCCAGCTGTTCAATTTTCTGGAACATTGGTCCCCGCTTCCTTCTCTCCACACCTGCGCTTCTCCTTACCTTTCATCCTGCCTTACCTCCCCTAACATCTATCTTTTTCTCTGTGGTAGCCTCCTTGGTACTCAGCACTGACATTAACTGCCCCAGTGCCCTAAGAGCATATACTTTCTCGTGTTGAGACATGTCACTCCATCCTTTATTCCGGGGCTGGAGAAGAGGGTTTCAGGGAATTCTACCAGCGAGGAAGCCCTGCTGTGGAATTCTTTAGAGACCTTGAATTTAGGCTACACTGACGATCTCCATGAAGGTTTAAATGAAGAATCTAACAGTACTGTGGGAAGAATCCACATGGAATGGGCTGGAAGTTTCCGTGAGGTCAAAGCCCCTGGCTCTAGCTCTGGCTCTCAAGTCAGAGGACTTGACCCAGCTGCAGATGAGCTGATGGCTCCTAAGCTGTCTCACTGAGGCTCACTGAGAAAGGAGGGGTTCCAGCAGGAGGTCCTCTGAGGTGCCATTCAGCTGTCACAGGCTGCCATCCAATGACTCCATCACCTTATCTCAGTCCAGCCTGTGGTCTGAGCATGGCCAAGCTGGAGGCTGGCAGAGAAAAGCAGATCTGGCGAGTGTATACAGAGGCAGGGAGATTTCACCACCCCACTCTGTAGGGGCACCACACCCTCTACCTCTCCCCAAGGAAATCTCTTGGGGAAGACAAACACCCCTGTTCCTTTATTCCTCCAGCTCCCATTCCCCCTTTTTTTGGGGGGGGGGGTCAAAGAAGTTGGCTTACATTGGAGCTGTGAAGGAGCATTGCATTTGGCTAAATCCCCCCCCCCCAGTTGATCTTGTCACCTGCACTGAATCACCAGGAGACAGGGCCTTCCTGCCAAACCTGGTGTGTCTTCATAAGCCAGTGTTATTTCTGCAGCCATAGAGGCATATCCAGCAACCAGCCACGGTGGTCATGCCTTTGCACTCCTGCTGTTTAACCCTGTGAAATGGTGAGAGGCTGCAAGTGCTTGCATTTTTTTTTTTTTTGCCTAAAGGAAATTAAACACATATATCTATATAAAAATATAGATATATCATGGTCTATGGGGAAAAAAACATTGTGAAGTGTAAAAATCGAACAAGCTTTATCAAGTTTAAGGAGCAGCTCCTGGCACATTTGGCACATGAGGAATGCTAAAAAAAAAAAAAGAAAGAAAGAAAATGCAAGTCACCGGTCCCCAAGTCTCTCCACCGCCATTAAAGGAAAGACCACATGAAAACGTGGAATCGATTTGGCTGGAGACGACAATTTCTGTGGGCTTTTCAGATATGTTTTACTTTCTGTGATTTGCATTGGTTCTCTTTTTCTCATACCAGAGGCGTGCCTGGTTAGAGAGATGGCCTCAATTAACATTGCTGAGGCGTCAGCTCTCCCAATAACCGGACCCACAGGAATTCAGGGCACCTACATAGAGGAAGGGGGCATGTGCCTCTTGACCGTGCTCTCTTGCCAGGCTGGGTTTCTCTAAACCAAATGCTAACAGACCGACTTCTGTAGCCTTCACTGAATATGACTGCATGGAATGCTCTGACTGTTTGCAATGCAACCTGATCTAAAAACATTGCATTTCTTTTTTAATCCAAAGGGGACTTGCAGGTTTATTGTGTTTGCATGTGCTTTCCCCCTAGACTCTGGCTGCCCTAACAAGAAATTCAATAAATCTACTTCCAAACCATCTTGCACAAGCTTTGCATGTCCAGTCTGGGCCTGAGGAAATTAACAAGCGAATAGAACATACCATCGACTTGCGGAGTGGCGATAAATTGAGAAGAGAGCATATCAAGCCATTCTCACTGATGTTTAAAGACTCCAGCCTGGAGCACAAGGTAGAGCTGGGTCCCAGAGTGGCTCTTTTTTCTGAAGTAAATGTTCATAAATGTTCACGGGACGAGCAGGAGAGCCCAGGGGCTGCGGTGTTGGTTGGTGTGTGTGTTGTTTGTTTGTTCGTTCAGTTTGGTACTGTCTTTCCTTTTTCTCTTTGAAAATCATGAGTAGACTGAAGGCCATGAAAGGAGATGCCGTTTAGATAACAAGAGTCTCAGCTTGGCTCATTAAGGAAAAGATGACAGAAAGAACAAGGAGCCCTTTTCCTCTGTGAGCATCAGAGGTGTCCCTTCCACTTTGAAATTATTAACCCAGGGGACATTGGCACCCACGTTAGGTCGATTCTCATCAATTGCAACGCTTGTAACATAATATATGAGGGCACCCAGTAACTTCACATAAGCGTTAGTGATAAACAGTCTTCATTAGATGGCAGACACCTATTCTCCCATTTCCCCAGTTGCCTGCTGGCCCCGTTAATGTAGGCACAGCAGAAACAAGATGCTTTGTGGATTCAGAGTCGGGTTTTGAATGCCACCTCTGCCATTTGCTTGCTGTGTGACCTTGGACAAGCGGAGTAGCCTCTCTAAGCATGAGCTCCTCTCTGTACAATGAAGATAACGAAGAGGCCTGTCTCCCAGGTTGTTATGGAAAGCTCCAGGCAGTGCCTTCATTAGGCTCAGTGTCCGAAGATGGCAGCCGTCACCAGAAGGATGATGATTTTTTCCAGTGCCCCTTTCTCACCCCAGCTCTAAACCGTAAAGAGTTGCGGGGAGGCGGTTGCTGCCCCTGATTAACTGGGCTGCCCCTTTTCACTGGTGGAAGCTGGCTGACCCTCCTTGACTGAGCCCAGGGGGAGCATGGCGTCTGCAGGCGCCTCCGGCAAGAACAGCAGGGAATTGATAAGCAAGTTTCAGGAGTTAGAGCCGATATTCTACAGAGCTCCAGTGAGCAAGTTCTGTGTGAGTTTTCTCAGCTGCCTGGGAGATTCTGCTTTCCTTGGTTTGGGGAATTCACACTTCTCTGCACAAGCACCCTTCCCAGTGAGTGTCTTTGATAACTACCTAAAGGTTGCAAACTCCGAAATGAGTAACTTCACCTGCAGCTCACAATTGGAAATGTATTGTGTCTATGTAATAACAAAAGAAGAAATATTTTACCTCGCTCAGCCCCCCTCTCACCCCATCACCAAATAGCAGGTGGACTTTTCTTATTCATTATATAATTGAGGGCTTAATTCCAAACGAAATGCATTTTCTTTCCTGGTTGCTACGTTGCAGGAGCTAGGAAGAGCAGCGTGGTCTTGCAAAGAATCTTCTCCATTAGCCTGTGTAAATACCTGTGTCCAGAGCTGTACAAACCCCTTTATTCATCCTCGTTACAGGAGTACTTGCTTCGCTAATGACCTGACCCCCGCAAACATCCCTAGTTTCTAATGTGTCTTATTTAAGAGCGTCCGCATCTCATCTGCAGGCATCTGATGTTGGAACAGGAATGGACCTAGGGGAGGCACAGTGTGTCTAAGGTTGATTTCTAAGAACTTCAGGGGGAGGTTCTTCTAGGAGAAGCGAAGAGCAGCATCCTGAACGGACAGTGGCATTTACCCGCCGCCGGTCCGGGCCTCACTCCCTTCAGCGTGTGCTCTGCATTGCGTGGGCACCCCGGGGGGAGGGCAACGGGGCACATCAGAAAACATTCATTCCCCCAGTGTCACAGAGACATTCCTCATTGACGCTTGGTCTGAGACCCTCTCTAGGGACTGTGACTGCCGAGCGGAGAATAATATATAAGAAGTAACAACCATTAAGCGTTTACCAAATAGCAGGCAGTATGCTAAGCTGTTCGCACAAATAGGCGAACAATGAGAGTGCGTGGTAGAGGCTACTGTGAGCCTCATTTTATGCTTCATGATACAGAGACACACAGAAATGATTGCGTAGCCTGCCCAAACGCGAACTGTCAATAGAGGGGCTGCAGTCTGAGCCCACTGCGACCCCAAAGCCAGTGCCCTGTCTGTTCACCACACTGCCTCTCCCTGGAGCTCCGGGGCTGCTCTCCCAGGCCCTTGTATGAAGAAGACAATCCTGTGTTATCATCACCTTCTCCTGTTTGAACTTGGGCTGGGGTGGGAGGCATAGATAGGGCAGCAGGGGTGTAGGGGACGGGTTAAATAGGAAGGGGCCCTAGGGTCTTACCGAAATAAAGGCAGGGCCTTCAAATCCATAGGGCCCCAGAATTAGACAGTAGTGCAGTGTGCATCTCCTCTGTGCCTGGTGTTTATGTGGGCTGGTTTATTGCATCCTTGGAGACACACCGCTATCTCACTTACACAAGAGAAAACGACTCTCTTAGAGGTGAAGTAGAGGCCATAGATCTCAAAATCCGGCTGCCATATTTCATTGACTTTAAACTACCAGCAACTGTGAGCCGTCTCATTTTCTATGCAGCACTAAGAAAGAAAAATCACCCAGTATGGGGAGCTTAAGAGGAACCCCAGTAAACTGGAACCCCCTGCGCCTTATATACCTCAGGGTAAGGAGGAATAGGGAAAAAAAATCCACCCAGCAGACAGTAGGAAACCCACATTTCTATAGCCCAGTGTTGGTTAGATGGAAAAGATAAAATTTAAAAAGAGGTCTGCGAAAAGTTAAACTCCAAAATGGAACCCGTGTATGTTTGCCGCCTGAGTTCACGTTCTGAATGGGGTCTAAAAAGAACCTCAGGCAGAGAATTTATATTTAAAGCGGTCCCTACTTGCTGTTGCCCCCTGGTGGCCGGCAGAAACAGACGCAGAGCTCTCCGGAAGAACTCAGAGGTTTGAAGACTCCGTTGATCATTAACACGTAACCTGATTTCAGAGACGCTAAAATGTGAGGGGGGAAAACTGTGCATATGAGAGAAGACTACCAAGTTCGGCCCACCCCCTGCCCTGTCATTTCAAACCCATGTGTACACACACACACACACACACACACACACACACACACACACACACGAGGAATCTTCTGAGCTCAGTTTCAGAAACGTGTGCTCATGACTCATGTGGCTTTGCCACGTTTGGACAGCGCATTTCCCCCTCTCGGTTCCCGGTTTCTGCGTCTGTGAAATGGGACCATTGGGCAGTCCCTCCTCTTTCTCAGCGGCCGGCACTGAGCCTGCGCACTCCCTATGGCATGGTGGCCAGGTGTCCTGCCTTGCCTGGGACAGCCCTGGTTTACATCGATTTTTCTCAATGTAATTATCAGTAGCACCTCCTTTCACGCTCAGAAATCACCCAGTGTGGGTGACAAGTCCTGTGGCCCAAGGTTGGGGCCTCGGCCAGGTTAGAATTAGCGGTTCTTTACATCTTCACTTCCCAGCAGCCACATGAGGACTTTCTGAGCAGACCCCTGGATGGGATAGGTGTTTAAGCCAGTCTTCAAAGTCCCTTCAGCTCCTCCCAGCCTTCAAGGAAGAGTCCTCTGTCCTCCTCTCCAGCTCAACATTTCCTAAGGGAGCTCTCAGATCTCAGGGGCAAACAAAAAGCAGAACAATGGCGGAGATGTAGGGAGCACGACGTGTTTGTCAAATACTGTCGATCATATCGGATTTTTTTCTTTCATTACAGAGAATTTTTTTTCTTATTAAAGAAAAGGAATGCATTTTTCTAACAAAACCTTATACCAAACACAAGACAAAAAGAGGAAAATGACACCTCTTATGATCTTACAACCCAGGATAGCTGGCCACCATTACCCATCTGACATCTGTCAGTGCTGATCTTCCCTGAGTGCTATTCTGTATACTTATCTATGCAAATTTTTTATTAAAATAGGACCATTTTGTACTATAGTGTTAAGCATTTTTGGCTTGAACTTTTTGCCACATTATTAAATATTCAATTACAAAGTAATTATTTTGTAACTGCCTACTATTTCATTGCGTGTTTTAACCATTTGGGGGGGCTCTCTCTTTCCTCAGATTTTCACTATTTTAAATTATAAATTGCATTGCGATGGCCATTGTCATAGCAAAAATCATACACCCATGCCTAATTGTTTCTTAGGATAAAATCCTAAAAATGGGAATAAGAGAATGTGCATTTTAAAACACTTGATGTGCATTCTGAAATTGCCTTCAAAAATTGTGCCTATACTTTAAAAAAATGGCCAACTTGATAAGAAACAAGCAGCTTCCTCCTGTCATTTTTAAAAAATTATTACTGAGGTTGAATATCTTTCTGTATGTGTTTTTATGTTTTGGTCTTTATAGTTCTCCTTTTGCAATCTGCACATTTGTCTTAACTGCCATCTTGTATTGGGATGGTCACCTCTGTCTTATTGATTTGTTGAGTACTCTTTGTATAGTGAAGCGCATAACCCCAGAACACTTACAAGAAGGTGATGTTTCACAGCTTCTGATCCTTATTTCTCTTCTAGGACAAGGCTCTGAATGAAGCTTAGGATGAGGGAGGCAATTAATTATAGTGACTTATGAAAGTTTCCAGGCCAGAGAAACCACCCAAAACCTTCCTTTCGTGCCTTAAGACAGCTCAACTTCATTCAGCTTAGTGTTACAAAAACAGTGTGACCACTTCAGAATGAGGCAACTTCCTCATCTTGACTAAAGAAGAAGATATGTTTAATATATACTTCAAAAAAGTTTGGGAATTAATGCTTTTGATGTGGGCATTTTAGTGAGGTAAGTGTCAAAAATCAAACCATATCAGTGGCAACTAGATTTCCTTCATTCTTTCAATGCTGGTATCTGTCTGTTAAATTCTGAGAAAAGGCCTCCTTTGTCGTTGTTACAAACTTAAGCAATGAGAAGTCTCTTTGTGATAGGCTCATAGTTTTCAAACTCAAGAATCACCTGGAGACCTTTTTTAAAATTCAGGTACCTGCCCCGTTACTCCGCCCCAAGCTTTTGATTTTGCAGGGTGGCCTACATTTTGAGAAAACTCCTCTGGGATTCTGTTGTCCTAAGCCACCAGCCACCTTTCTCTGTCCTTGGCTTCACATTA